AACTTTCAAATATTTTTCTATAACTACTGGTTAAAAGGCAAAATGTGTCAGGAGCAAAGAGTTGGAAAAGAATGGTGATTTGGCAGCCTGTTTGCCTTCTGGAAATGCCAAAATCCAAGTAAAATTAACCAGAAAAAGAATTTTGGAAAGAAGCATTTAGAAACAAAGCTACATAGAACAGACAAAACATCTATTGTTGAACTCACATACATTAAGAGTCAATAAGTTTTCTAGTATCAAAAAAATAGCCCTTATAAATGGGAAAGAAAAATTGCGTCGTACTATTTTGATGAACTTTTCCCTTAAAAATAAGCCTTCTATTTAAATTGGCACCACCAAAAAAAGAATATTTGGCTTCTTAATTCAAATGGAAAGACTTTAAAATATGAACAAAAGTATTCTGTCTCTCTTTTAATATTGCTCTATTTGTAGAGCTATGTCTTCCTTTACTTTACTTTTGTAGGCATGTGAGGTGGAAAAGCAGGTGATATTTTCTCTCCAGCTAGGCCTAAGGCTACTTCTCCCTCTGACATTCCTGCTTATCTTTGTGCCTAGTTACCACCCCACCATCCTTCACTCCTCATCAGCCTTTGTTTTTTAAACCAGACAAGGATTTCTGTTGTGCCTGAGCACTAACCGAAGTCACGCAAAGAAGTCTCTGCTCTAGTCATTGAAAGGAGTTAGATGGACTAAGGGTCTAAGATGCAAATGAAGATCACTAGCTACACCTTGATTATCAACAGCTAACATAACAGTGTCGAACTAATCCCGTTCTGAGCTTCCATCCATAATAGGAACATCATTTTGAAAAGCACAGTAAATGGGCAGACAGAGCATGATATTGGTTATGAACCCATAAGGTTAATTTTCAACAAATGGCTGTGAATATATATTTTAAGTTTCAATGTATGCATGACTTAAATTAAACATTTTTATTAAACTTTTTATCACACTTCTGAGTCTGAGAAAATGGCTTTTTGCAGAGATTTCTGTGAACCATCTCACTCCAAGGTATTTATAAATGGCAGAAAAAACAGAATGGGGATTTCTCTAAAGTAATACTAAAATAATGCCATTTATTAGGTTAATTTAATTAGGAGAAAAACATATAAGAAAATCATTGGCACCTACTGAAAATGTCAGATTAAATACCATAAAAGCTAAGAGAAAAAACAAAACAGGTTGCTTTTCAAAAAAACCTTAATTCCTTGATTAAACACAATCTTTTTCTATAGAAAGTTCCACTTAGCATAAGAACTGTGTTAAGCTGCAGCTCTGGATACCCACATATTTACCAGAAGCAAAAACCTTATCTGCATTAGGATTTTAAGTATCTGTGTAGTCACAGTCTTGCAACTGCTCTAGTAAAAAGCACAAGAGCCTTGGTTTAAGGCACTGCAGCAGATTAAACTCTGATGGCAGACATCACAGTGGGGGCTGAAAACTTGAAAAAAAGACAAGGCTGGAATAAGGCTTTAAAAAAAAAAAAAAAATCCCATACCAAACCTTCTTTTGCAATTTTAAGCCACTAATTGCTAACTAATTATTGTGAGGTGTCACACAATGAGAAGGAAAGCTAACAACCTCTTCTTGTTGATTAGGATTTGCAGGTTCAGTCGGAGTGTCTTTTCAGGTATGGTCAAAATCAGGTACAAATCTCTGAGGGAGGTACAGTTTAGCTAAAGAAAAGAAATACCAATGTCAAACTGCTTAAGCAGGCCTCTTGTTTTGAATACTGGTATTGGAGCCAAAACATTGTCTGTATGTCATTTCTAAATTCTACCCACTTGATTTCTTTGTTTTGTGGAGAAACAAGAAGCTGAAAAACAGGAAAGTTCACTTTGGGTACAAGGCTTATTTTCCACTTAAGCCTACAGGTCACAAATGAAGGGTTAAGTGAAACCAGGCTTTGTTTTTCTCAATCTCTAAAATATATTAAACCACATTAAAATAGCTTATAATTTAAAGGAAAATTCCTTTAAAGCCTCTGAATATAAGTGCTTTCACGGAGAGTGGAAATGTACATAAAGACCACAGTATTCTAGTGCCAATACTGAGATGTATTTCCACCTGCTCCAAGACGCTAAAGAAGGGCTCCGACTTTTTCCAAATCCCAAAACTTAAACAGTTGACATCTGGCTCAAAACATAAGTTTTGAGGTGTTAGAAGCCCTGAGGTCAATTAAAGTAACTGATAACTTTGTATTTGGTCAACAGATCTCTCTGTACATATTAAAAAAAAATTCCAAAAGCATAAGGAAATGTTTTGGTTTGTTTCTTTTTCTTCTCTTCTGGAAGGACAAATCATACTCCTATACTAGTTTCATGCATTTCCATGAAATTCACAAAATTCAAATCACCCTTACATAAAAATGTAGCAGTTTATACCGTGACTGCACAAACTGCAAAACAAAGGTATTATTTTGTTCCAACAAAGCTGAAGGACAAAAGTAGGGAGAAAGTAGAGCACAATAGCAGTAAAAGGAGAGGAGGTGATAAAAACAGATGAGAAAGTAAGAATATACAGGAAAGGGTGGCACAAGCAAGAAGTTATGATGAACGAGGTAGAGAATAAGGAAAAGAAAATCAATCCCTTCAGCAGCAGGGCTGCTCATCATTCATAGTCATTCACCATGAAACTCACTCAGGCATTATGAAAAGAGCTGAATGCCAAGTTGCCAAATCCCCTATTATTTAATTAGGATATTTTTGTTTGTTTGAAGATCTGGCTTTTGTATTTTAATGATTATGTGAGCAGCTTAGATTTAATTTTTTAAAAGGGCATTTCTAGCCCTCACCACAGTGCAGAAACATATGAGAACATGAAGTTAGATTGCTCAAAAAGCAGAATACAGGTGAAAAGAACAAAAATTCCCCTCAACAATTTTAAATTTTTTTCAGATTGACTTATGATCTGGATTTCTGATTTTAAAGGCCAGAAACCATTAGGAAACACTCTTTAAAAAAACGTGCACCTCCCATTGCTGCAAATAAACCCTACAATTCTCATATGACAGATATATGTTCTAGCATGTTTGCTTTGAATGTTTAACACTGTCTTCCTCTAATGTCTATGGAAATTGCTAACTGTTGTCTGAAGCTGTCAGTAAGCCAAGAGAAACTGTGATATGAATGAAACTTTAAGAAAACAAAGCAAGAATGGCACACTTTCATGACTGCATCTGAGAGTCAAGGACGTGCATGTTGCTACCCCTCACCAAAAAGATCTAATATTTATCCACAGCATAAACACTAATGCCATCATCCCTCTTAACATCAATGGTTGGTCGTCGTTTAGCAATGCGGAAGTATTCTGCCACATGCCACGCAACCAGAGCCAGCCGGGAGAGAGCTACACCTCAAGTAATCAGTGCCAACAGTGATGAGGCTGCAATCAGGAGTCACCCACCTCCTTGCAGCATACGTATTTATATCTCTTCGCAGTTGAACACTAGCCACTTTCCTCAACCTCAAGCATCCAGCAAGAAAGGTGTTTATGTTCAGGCCCCAGGTAATCAAACCACTATAGGAAACTAGTAACAAATGGAAAAAATATGCTCGCGCAAGTACTTCTACAGTGATGGCTAATTAGGCTTTTCCAGCACTACTCTGCTGCCCAAAAGCAAGTGGTGAGATTCTGCTGGCACTGAGTTTTTTTGTGAGCACTGGGATTTTTCTCCTCATTCTGAACTGAACTGTCACAGATATGGTGATTTTGGGGTGCCATGAAAAAGCTGGTTTTGGCCTGAGAAATGGGAAATAACTTTCAGTAAATGTTTAATGCTCTATAAAGCTGTTGTCCATAAAATAATTGTTGAAACATTTAAAGTTTTAGTGTCTTTTTACTACCTAAATATAAACTAATAACACCTAGGAAACCAAGGTTGCTGAATTAACTTGCTTTTCTGACACATAATGAAAAAAACTAATTATATTCCTCAAACAGGTAAGCTGCTATTACAGCAAACACTTCTGAAAATACACCAGACTTGAACAAGCAAGAAAGGTTGCAAGGCAATACTGCTCTAGATTTTAATAATGCAAAAAGCTATTAGGAGGAATTCAGAACCTTACCCAGGCACGGACTGAATCAGTAGTAGCTTTGCCCTTCACTCAACTGGGTGTAGGGTAAAACCATTTAGCGATAAATATAAGCTTTACAAGAAGACAGAGTGATTACATAAAGCCAGACAAAACTATCTGGTTGTTCATTATATGTAGAATTTTTTAAGGTTGCCAAAAAATCACCTTCTAGTTATACCTTACATGAGGTGAACATGAAACGGCGTAACAGATTTTAGCACAAGCTGAGACATTAGCTTTCAAATACAATCCTGGAAAAACAAAGTTTGATCTCAGAAGGGCATTCCATTCATAAACTGTTCTTATTCACCTAAGACCGCATTTCTCTTCGGAGAATTACCAAGGAAACCCACAGTCTGTAGACATATTCATCAGTTCAGTTATGATTTATAGACTGTGCATAATAGAAAGATTTGACTCATAGGCAGACTTTCAAAAACATCAGTCAATATGTAGATTAAAAAAAAGTTAAAGTAAAAAATGTTAGACTAATCTGTCTGTGTCCAAAAGTATTCTTCCTCTTGCCTTCCCAATACAGAGCACAGTCCACTGCTGATCGCTCAGAACTAAAATGTTATTTTAGCAATCACTCCTGGAAGTTCTTCACTCTCTGAGGGGAGCTAAACCTTTGCAGATTTTGATGATATCAACAGGTTTCAGACACTCTGTACCTACAAACCAAACCTCAAGTGGTCAAAGTATTACTCCCAACACTATTTAATTATTTACTGAATATAAGAGCTGAGTAAGTGCAAAGAATGGAAATGCGAAACAGCTTTACTCCTTGATTTTTTATGTCTTGAAACACCACTACCGGTGTGCCTCTAGAAAAATCAACTAATGTTCTGGGCTTCTTTGTGTATCAACCATAAACCAGCAAATATTACTGAAAATTTCCATCAGTTTCTTGACACTTACCCTTCCATATCTGTTAGCATAGGACCCTGTAAGCAAGGAATGGAAAATGATGATTGTCTCATCCAAATCCCAAATGAATACTCTCTGTAAAAAGAGAATCAAATCAATGTGTTCCTCTGTGAAGCTGATACTTGAAATGGAAAGTTAAAATTTGAATCAGTAAGCGCACAAATAAGAAAATTGTATTGAAATGGTTATATATTAAAACCATAGTTTCCTTGCCATTTATTTTCAGAACTAACAAGTTTTTTCCAGAATAGGGTAATACAATCTGTTAGCTTTTTACTACAATTGCTATTATATAAAATTATTCTATTAGAATAGAATTATAGTTATTGTCAAATACACACAGAAAATGAGATTGTACAATGTATTATTTTAAAGCCAGATGTGAGATAGAAACTGAAATAAATGAAGAGAAGCCTCTGAAAATTAAATCTTCGGGGTTTGAATTCTGTATTTCTGCAAGTCTTACAAAACAAAGTTCATATAACTGCTCTTGAAAATTACCTCTAAAACCAAAATAAAGCAAATTGCTGCTAAGCACTTAAATCCCCTTAATCTATGTTAATTTTTAATGGATTTTAGGCACCTGAAGAATGAAAATTATCAACTTAGATGCTGCATGTGTAAGAATTTATGGCATCAGTAAATAATTCTTTTGCTTACAGCCAATGGAAAATATGTGTTTTAAATTTGTCCTCTGACCACACAGAAAATTATATTTTAATGAAAAATAAAGTGTTCAAATACAAGTATTTTAAATCCTGGTGAGATTGTGTTTCCCATGATGACAAATGGGCTAAGCTTTTGGAAAGGAAAAGTAATGCAGTGTGGACACTCATAGCTGTGGTGTGTCATTGGAGATGTGTTCTCAACATAAAGCATGGGCCACTGGGAGGAATGTGAACATAGCATGAGAGAACAAAACCCACTATTGTGCTAGAAGTGTCTCCTGTCCAAACACAAACCTTTCTTTGACTTGGGAAAAGCCTGCTTTTTTTTTTTTTTGCCTTTTTTTTTTTTTTAATCAAAAGGAGAAAGAAACCCCCAGTATTTTTCAGAGAAAGTAGGTGCTCTTCATGAAGAAGGTTCTTTAGAAGAAAAATTCTATCTTCTATGAAAATACTGTTAGAAAAAAAAGAAAGGGAGCTCCAATGCCACTTTATTTTTGATGTGTAAATAATATTTCTTTGTGCAAAATAATGATAAAAATAGAGTCAAAGACATCTAATATAATGTACCTCTAGATCAGAGTCAGGTGGTGGTGAAGGATTATTGTTTCTTCTGCCACGTCCACGTGATTTCCCATCTGAACTACGACGCAATCTATCTGAATCTGAATCTTTAATGGGTGTTGATGGACTGTGGATTGTACTGTATTCTGCTGTAGTAAAGAAATGACATTTTTACCCTTCAGTTGAGACTTCAAAATGTTCAACTTACTTGCTTTTTACATGTGACACTAAAACCAGGATGTTCACTAAAGAGTCCTAACTAAAATAATTAAATCTACAATGATAAGTGGCAATACTGATACATAAACTAATTCAATCAAGTTCATGTAAAGACAGACATATAAATTATTTCAGTAAACAAATAAAAAAGGAGTAAGTAAAAAAACCTCTTCATTCCTTCAAATCATAGAGAAGATCATATCACTTCATACACAAGATTAAACTCTAAATGAACAGTTTTAAGGGATACTAGCTTTTTTTAAAAGAAAATTGATTTAATTCTAAGTTTTCAAACATGCCTTAAGATAACCATTATAGTGACTGGCAAGAAAAAAACATCCAGGTGTGAAAAAAAAATAACATATAGAAATTGAGAACTTTTCCAAATTGTCTGGTTGCAGACACTTTACTTTTAGGTCGCTACATTTGAGCCAGATGAATAGAATTCTTTCTAAATATGGCATAAAACAGAGTCCTTATTTTCCCAGGGTAAGTTCAATTGATAAGTTTTAAATATGCATCAACTATGAAGATGAATTTTATAGTATTCTTCAAAGGCCTACTCAACTTTTCCAATGAGTACCTTCAAGACAGGATACAATTCTTCATAAACTGTATTGTATGCTAATTATTATGCTTCAGCAAAATTTATTTACAAAAATCTTTACTGTTGTTGAACAGGTAAAAAAGAATAATTTACGTAAGAACAACAAAGTTCTCCTGAAAACGTGCTAGTTGGAAGATGTTTTGCTCTTCTCAACATCCATAGACTCAGTAACAGTGAAGTGCTTGAACATTAACAAAGCAGACACCCAGCATAAATTATCCTTCCTAATTCATTTAACTAGAAGTACCATACTCCTCAGAAATGCCACAACACATTTTTAATTCTCTTTTTGAGACTTCCTTTCACAGTCTTAAGTTCACGGACAAAAGACTTATTTTGACCGTTATCATCAATTTTTTTTTCCTAAAGCCCCCTATTTTTGTAAAGGCAGATAGAATTTCCAGCATACAATATATTTATCAATTTCTCTTCTCAGTTAACATTAACTGCTCTTTAGAGTTCAGTAGAAGTGGATATTTGTATCAATATTAATTTTCTTTTTAATCAGCCTAGACCATGGCATTCCAGTTTGAACAGACAGGTATACTTCTCATACAAGTGATTCTTTCTCCTGAAAAAACATCCTGTTGAGGTCAAAGGTTAGATTAAGGAGGAGACCCTGGACATCTGTGTAACACTACATATTCACAATTACTCAAAATAATAATGGTTGCTTGCGCTGAATGAAAGGAAAAGGTCTTGAAATTCTCATGTTCAGCCTTCAAATCTACACTTAATGGAAATTAGTATATATTATGTATTTCACATTATACTTTTACCTAAGTATTTTAGGCTACATTAAACAAAGCAGAATAACAAGGTAAGATGTAACTCAAGGTAAAACAAAGAATCTTCAAAAGAGACTCGACCTATACCTTTACTCGACCTATACCATTAAGTCATCTGTCTGGATGGGCCAGACCTTCACCTGACAGAAAGACTCCCAACCCTACCTCAGGACCCCAAGGTTGGCTGGGCACACCTTAGCCCACCCTTCTTGGGATCACTGTACCTGTATCATTCCCAAGAAAGATTTTGCTTGTCTTGCTTTTACAGATCTCTCCAGGAAATCTACTCTGCTACTTTAACAGCCATGCCATTAAAAATGGAACATACAACTGCAGCATTCATTACAGCAATATAAGTTCAATCTGTGAAAGCAGGGAAAAAAATTATTCCCTTCACTGTATTTGCATGCAATTTGAAGACTGTTCTCAGATCTCCTTTGCTGTTAAGTCAAGCCTTCCCTGATGATCCTCTTTTCTAGGTTCTGATTATCGCGCTGTATAGTTTCTCCAAACTGGACACAGTGATCCAAAGCAAAGTCAAGCAAAACTTTACTTCCCATGTCCCACAGGCTACCCTCCCCTTGGCACCACTTGGCAGGAGACACTGCATTTTCTGCATTATTTTCAATAAATGTTAGTTTCAGGATCCCTAGATCATCTTCCGAGGAGGAAGCGACACCCAACTGGTCATTGCTCAAAGACCTGGCCAAATATTGGACATGAAGCGAACACACAACATTGCTAATACCTGGAGCTTCTGAGCCTACTCAGGAGACCAGTCTGTTAGGAACAGTGTGACAGATGGCAGTAACCAATGGGGGAAAACGTGACATCGTGTGCAAGAAACTTATTCCACATATGTAAAGGGAAACCACAGCATGTACTCTTTGGATTAAGGCTGTTCGACAGGGCAGCCTCCATGTGCACGGCTGGGTTACCAGCTCCCTGTCCAATGGTCACTCTCGGGTCCTCATAAGGAAACCCAATTAAAGAATCCAGTATCCAGCTGAGCCCTGAGCCTCGACAAGCCCAAGCCCTGACAAATTCTGGAGCAAGAAAAACAACAGCGGCTGAGGGTACTTGGTGTGCCACTAATATCTGGAGTACTGAGAGTGGTCCGCAGGGAAAGGTAGAGCCTGGAAGGAGCTGCCAACATTCCCCATCCCACATTTGTGCAGTTCATCATTCCTGCCTAAATGTATACCTCACACCTGCTCCTATTCAGATCACATCGCCATTTTTTGAGTTCTCATCCTGTCTCCAAAGAACTCGCAGCCCCTCTCAGCATGGTGTCATCTACATATTTAATAGGCAAACACATTCTGTTCCGTCATCTAAATGATTAATGAAAATGCTGGGCCCAAGGCAGACACTGAGGAATGCTGCTGTAGCCATCCTTCTATTTTAACAGTGAGCTCTCACTGACTTCTCTCTGGACACGGTTTCCTACACAGCTTTATAGCATTCTGCTGTAGTTTCTGCTAGACTGCTTTAGCCTAGTTTCCTTATAAGATTGTTCAGTGAAAAGATTTAACTGTCAGGGCAGCAAAAGCCTTGCTGAAGTCAAGCTATATAGCCACAAAATACATTATTTTTATACCCGTCATTCTACATTCATTGATACGAGGGGGTTAATTTGTTCAACCTCAGCTGACTTCATAGTAACAGACATACTTCAATATTAGCCAAGGGAAATAGTTATGTTTCTAAAGCATTGAATTTAATTTTATCCTGTTCTTGAGCATCACACACACTGGGAAGTGCAGGAGAAAACCCAGCCCTTCACAAAATCATGAGCAGAAAATGGGATGAGGATCAGCTCTCCACTGCCTGTCCCAATACTAAAGCAAGGTCACAAGCTGGCAGCAGCCAGGTTAAACACAAGAAGGAGTTCAGATAAAAGCTAGGAGATTTGTGCCACCTTTTGTCAAAAAATTCCAGGCTCCCAAAAGACTACAAGGGTTCAAGGGGAGCCTGAAGACACTCCTGAAAGAGAAGCATTCAGGGGTGCTACAGCCGTGCTGCATCAGCGGGTTGGGTCTGTGGGACCAAACAAGTGGTGTCAATGACCCCAGGCTTCACTGCCTGTTTCTGGGAGGTCCTTTCAGCGTACGTCCAGCCTGATCTAATGTCCTGAGCATCCTCAATAGGGGCTGGAGGAATTTGGTACTGTCTGGAGGACACCCTCCAGGTTAGTTTTGTCTGGAAGGACTCCAGCCGGGTGCTCTAGGACCGCTCTCCTGAGCCAAAGCTCTTTGCTTCAAAACCGACTCCTGCTCCAAATTAAAATCCTAATGCAGGCACACCCTAAACATACAAACAACATCAGCTTTGGAAATCCCCTGAGATGAAAATATCTGGAAGCTGGAAAAGCGCTTAGGGCAAGTCTTATACAAGCTTAGCCTGTCCTCGCTGCTCCCGGGGTGTCTGCTGATGGCCACTGCCGCAGGCAGGGTACCAGCCCGGTCGATCTATTGGTCTGGACCACAACAGCCAATTCTGTGTGTTGCATATGCCTTCACAAAACTATATTAATAGTGAAGCAACAGTTATTCTTCTGCATCCATTAACAGACACATAATTTCAGATGTCTCTGCTACGGCACATCTCTGCACTCTGCCCCAGACTGTCTGACACCAAATGTTATGGCTTGTTTCTGCTTCACACACTCAGAGTTCCCTCTTCCAAACCTTGACCAAGTGTAATAGACCCAATCTTGACTTCTCTAGTCAGTCAGAAAAAACATTTTAAACCCAGATTCTGTAAATGTATACCTCCTTTTCCAGGTGTGACCAGTACCCCCTGCTCCTGACCCCCGGTAGTCACCCCTGTACTGTATGGTGACACCAAGCCAGACAAAAACTACACATAACTGTGAGGAATAAAATATATTTGCATTCTGGTTTGCCTAAAATACATGAACCATATTGTAGCATACCTTCCCCTATGCTTCAAGGCACCATATTATTCCAACTTGACATAAAATGTCATAAGCATATACTTCCCTGTTATACATCATCGTGGGTGCTTTTGATGGTTTTGTCACACAGGACAATTTTCCATCATCTCATATATAAGAATACTTTGATTACTTATGAATAGACAATATAGCCACAGAGACACCATTTGCAACACCATATTCTGTAATTCCTTTCTGTTTGTAATGGAAATCCCCCCAAAATAATTGCTGTATTTTTTTACTGTTGATTTCAATGTACTATACAGCAATAGTATCGAATGACAAATTTGGGGATAACTAGCTGTCCCTGAAATCCCCAAATCAAGTCTATCTCTAGGTAAATCTGACTGACAAGTGTGTGGGTAGAGCTCTTGCTGCTGACAAAAGGATTGCAAATTTCATCAGACTTTTTCCCTACTACACTGAAAGGGTATGCAAAAAAGAGTAAACGCACATTATCAAAGTAATCATATCTTGTGTCATGATGTAAATCACATTGACAAGATGGGTCTAGGATACCTAGTATAGTCAAATGCCTCTGCAAATAGGTCTGTACAAATATTTTCCATTTAG